GAGAGAAATTTTGTTATTTTTAAATAAAATTTTGAATTTAAATTTTGTTAATAAAGAAACAAATGTTGAAAGAATTTTTTTCTTTTGAGGTTCAATAATATGTGATTTTGCTAATGTTAAGAGATTTAATATAAAAAAATAGTATATATAAAATTATAATATTATAATCAAGATATAATATTAAATAAATATAATATTATATTATTAATTATATAATAATATATCATATTATAAATTTATAATATCACATAATATTGTAATTTTAATATTTTGATTTTATTTTAGCTAGTTAATATTGGCAACATTTCGACTTATTTTGTCCACTAAGAAACCACAAAATATTAAACGCAAGTAAAGTGGTATAATTTCTCTGTCTGCTTCCTTTTTGTTTTCTAGTCCAATCTTCAATCACGTAAAATACATTGAAAGATAGAACTACGGTCCAATTTTGAATTTTCGTTACCTTTTATTACTCTTTTGTTTGGATTGAGGATCTCAAAAGTTTATGCCGAACCTTAATTTGGTGGAACTTCTAACAAAGATACAAAAATTGTAGTTCACATGTGAATCCCTCCTTCTTCTTTTGTTTTTTTGTTTTTTTTTTTTCTTATCTTGGTTACACAATAGAATTATCTTTCATTTCTTATTTCATCATACCTGCATGTTATGTAAAAAAAAATAATCACTGAATTATTTAAACCGTTGGAGTGAATCTTTCTTTATATATTGTGAATAATTACATATTAATTTAAAAATTTTGTTAAATTAAAAAGAGTCAATTGTATTGACTGTCTTTTTGCGTTTGTGTTGCATTATTCTAATATTAAATGTCATTTCAATTAATCCGGTGAAACAGTTTTGAAAAGCTTCGGAACTCAATAAAGCCTTGGAAGACAGCAAATTGAATACGAATTTTTGGAGAAAATTGGAATGAAATTGCAATGAAGAAGCGGGTTTGGTGGAAAGGATGTTAAGCAACATATTATTCCCACTTACAGCCCCACCATGCATGGGACTATTTTCAATGAACACTAAGAAAAATGGTCCAACATATTTGTTCTCTTCCAAAGATGGTGTTGACCCTTTTCAGAACCGCTAAAAGATGTAAAGTTGAGAGGAGAAAACAGAGATATGCCAAAGGAATAAATATACAACGTGTATACCCTGCACCTCCAGGCTCCAGATTTATTGGCACCAAGACAAGATTCTTAATAAGGAAACAGGCATTGAGGGGCAGTGAAAGTGGTAGGGGAAAAGGCACACCACTTCCCTGTCCCCCAATTACCTAAAAAGTTAAAGCATATCTTTGATGATTCCAATCTCCTCTCAAAGCTGTAGAAGTAAAATTTTAAGCACCGGTAATCTTTACTGGTTTGGTATATATTCATCAGTGAAGGTTTGGGACCATTAAAGATATATTAGTCCTTGGCTAAGGGATGCA